GTCTCTAAGAAATGGTCTTTTATTTGGAAAAAAAAAAAAAAAAAGGGGAGCAAAAGAAGTGACTGGGGAGGTCTCTGCCCCACCTCCACTACCCCCTCCACACTCCCGCCTCCTGAGATGAAAACTGGCCTTGTGTCTTCAGCAGGGCAGGAGCCATGGAAGTGAATTGGACACTTCCAAATTGAGAGGCAGGTGGGTCTCCACTACATTTCGACCAATAGCAGCAAATTTGAAGGCTTTGTTGATTAGGACAACTCTAATCATGATTTATGCACATCTGTACATTTCAATTTCACCAAAATTAAAAATTACCAGATAAGTGTGTAATCCTGTAAATTGTCAATTAGTTGCTCCCTAATGATAATGAAATACTTAACAAATAGTATATATCTCTGAATAGTGCCAAATAAATTGATTAAAATATTTCTTCAAGAACTAACAAGGGTCCCATTTGCTCAGTTTCCTTGATGAGTTATAGTGTGGTCAGGACTTTGAAAAATGGTTCTAAGACTGGAATTGGATTACACTAAGGAAGGACAAACTTTCCAGGTAACCACGTCGAAGGAGCGCTCACTCCGCACCTGGACTCCATTGCACAGGTAGTTGAAAAGACACAGAATCTAAGTCAAGGCACCTGTGCTAGAATCCTATTGCCAACCCCAGCTAGCTGTGTGACCTCTGCTAAGCCTCAGTTTCTTGGTGATTAAATGGGCATGATAGTTTTTCCAATTTAAGGTTGTGGTGAGGACTAAATTAACACAGGAGATGAAGGACTTTAGAGCTGTGGCAGGCAAGGTTCACCCACAAGGTAGTCAATAAATATTGATAGACTGAAAAGCTTAGGCAAACTCTATCATTATTACTTTTTTATTTTTTGAGATGGAGTCTTACCATGTCACCCAAGCTGGAGTGTAGCAGCATGATCTCACCTCACTGCAACCTCCACCTCCTGGGTTCAAGAAATTCTCATGCCTCAGCCTCCTAAGTAGCTAGGACCACAGGCATGTGCCACCATGTCCAACTAATGTTTTCGTATTTTAGTAGGACGGGGTTTCACCATGTTGCCCAGGCTGGTCTATGAACTCCTGAGTTCAGGCAATCTATCCACCTCAGCCTCCCAATATGCTAGGATTACAGGCATGAGCCACCACGCCTGGCCTGAACTCTATCATTATTAACAAGCACCTGAGCATTGTCTCTGAGCAAGGCACTATGCTTGAGGGTGGAGATAAAGAAGGAAAGGGAGGCAAAGAAAGTAGCAGAGAAGAGGAGAGGAAAAGAAATCAGATACCATCCCTTGCTCTCAAACCTAATTAGACAGCAAAAGTTGGGGAAACAGGTATCATGATAACAATAGCCAATATTTATCGAGTGCTTACTGTGTGTCAGGCGTTAGAATAAGCTCCTGATGCATTATTTAAACTCCTCACAATCCTGTAAGAGAGTACTATTACTTTTAGCCCTATTTTACAGACAGAAGCTGAGACACCAAGTTAAGTAACTTGCCTAAGATCACTCATTAAGTGCCAGAGCTAGGATATGAGCCTCAATTCTGCACCCTTAATATTGCTTATTGTATGGAAGGGCAGGGGGAATCAGAAGTCAGATTTGAATCGTTCATACTATCTATGCAGTCCTAGGCAAATCACTTCACCCCTCAGACTCGGAGACTCCTCATCTGCAAAGCGAGTTCACATTCCCCACAGCAGTTTGTGGTAATCATGAAATAAGTTGAGTGAGAGTACTTTGCATTATGGCTGGCATGGGCTTACGCATGTAATAAAGTTTAGATGCATCTCAATCTGCATTGCCATTTATATCAGAGCTTCTGCCAGCTAAAAAATGCCCTGAGCTCTCTGGGTAAAAGCTGGACACTGACTATGCTTCAGACCCTCTCTGCAATGGATTGACCTGGAGTATTTCAAACACGGCATCAAGGAATTACAGATAAGCAAAGGTAATCTACATCAGTGGGCTATAAAATATTTTCATAGTACACTTTACCAATAAAACATTTTGGGCACAGGGGATGCAGGGTTCTGGGAAGCTCGGTAGCCATGGCCAGCCACCTTGTGCTCAACAACACTGCCAAGATGCCCATCCTGAGGCTGGGCACCTGGAAGTCCCCTCCAGGCCAGATCATGGAGGCTGTGCAGGTGTGATCGACATCAGGTACCACCACACTGACTGCACCTATGTGTACCAGAATGAGCATGAGGTGTGAGTGGCCCAGGAGAAGCTCGGGGAACAGGTGGTGAAGCGTGAGGACCTCCTCATCATCACAAGCTGTGGTGCACATACCAAGAGAAGGGGCTGATGAAAGGAGCCTCCCAGCTGTTCAGTGACCTAAAGCTGGAATACATGGCCCTGTATCTTATTCACTGGCTAACTGACTTTAAGCCTGGGAAGGAATTTTTTCCACTGGATGAATCAGGCAACGTGGTTCCCAGTGACACTGACATGTGGACACATGGGCAGCCATGGAAGAGCTGGTGAAAGCTATTGGCATCTCCAACTTCAACTATCTCCAAGTCGAGAGGATCTTAAACAAGCCTTGCTTGAAGTATAAACTGGCAGCTAACCAGATTGAGTGTCACTCATACCTAACTCAGGAGAAGTGAATCCATTACCGCCAGTCCGAAGGTATCATGGTGACTGCCTGTAGCTGCCCTGCAGCCTGTGGCTCTCCCGACAGGTCCTGGGCGAAGCCCGAAGACCCTTCCCTCCTGGAGGATCCCAGGATCAAGGCGATCACAGCCAAGCACAACAAAACCACAGCCCAGGTTCTGATCCGGTTCCCTTTGCAGAGGAACTTGGTTGTAATCCCCAAGTCTGTGACACCAAAACGCATTGCTGAGAACTTCAAGGTCTTCAAGTTTGAACTGGGCAGCCAGGAGATGACCACCTTACTCAGCTACAGCAAGAACTGGGGGGTCTGTGCCTTGGTGAGCTGAGCCTCCCACAAGGATTACCTCTTCCATGAAGTTTTGAGGCCGTGGATGCCTGTTTGTCCACGAGTGATCTACACCTGTTGTTCCCACCTCATTTTTTCTTGCAAATGTATATGGCCTGTGTCACTCAGAGGTGGAACAGCAACCTAAAGGCTGGCCAGTGAGGGCTTGCCTAGCTTGCTGTAGGGTTTAGAGAGCAGTCCCCATGGAGCAGAAGTCTCTTCCAGTTTTCTTTGCCCTTCTTTTTGTCCAGCTGGGGAAAGTGCAACTTGAATACCCTTTTCTGACCAAGGAAAAGCAAAATGTGCAAAGTCAGAATTGTGTCACTAATAGTTGAGTTTTGATGCTTGGAACTATAATCCTTTCAGCAAGACTTCTCTTTGCTTCAAATAAAAATGCTTTTGTGAAAAAAACATTTTGAGCACAGATTCCTACAGGTATATTTCTTAATTTAAAATTTTGATGCTTTTCCTGTTAATGTTATTATAGTATGCACATTATAAAGCATGCTCAAAAATAAAATTTTAGCAGGATAAAAAAATGAAATAATAGTTTTAGAATGTTATCTTATTCATTAATAATACAAAAAATCTTATGCTTTCACAAAAATTATCAATAGTAATATTTGTAATGAGCACAGTGTAATTAACTGTGGTGATGTCTTAAAATCTTAATTTAGCCCAGTGAACCGAAAGTCAGCTTCTAAGTTCAGTTAACCTGGATTTTTGGATTTAATGGCTGTCATCACTGAAAAAGGTACCTCACAAAGATCTGTCGATTCAAGTGGAAAAGTACATTATTGACTGCAATTTCTAAGTCACAATACTCAATATACAGCCTCATCCATAAACAATGCAAAGTTTTTTGCTAAAATTTTCACACTAAATTTCTATCTTTCCTCTTGTCAATTGGTTATTCTTCGATATTGCTGATTGAGATGATGAAAACATTCTGGAATTAGGCAGTGGTGCTGGCTGCACAAATTTGTGAATAGACCAAAAACCCCTAAGCTGTACACTTTAAAAGGGGGGATATTTTTAATTGTTATTTTTATTTCAATAGCTTTTGGGGTACATGTGGTATTTGGTTACATGGATAAGTTCTTCAATGGGGATTTCTTTGATTTTGGTGCACCCATCACCTGAGCAGCAAACCCAATTTACAGTCTTTTATCCCTCACTCTCCTCCCAGCCTTCCCCTGTGAGTTTCCAAAGTCCGTTATATCATTCTTCTGCCTTTGCATCCTCACTTATAAGTGAGAACATACGATATTTGGCTTTCCATTCCTGAGATGCTTCACTTGGAATAATGGCAGAATAATGGCCTCCAGCTTCATCCAAGTTGCTATAGAAGACATTTTTCTTTCCTTTGTGTGGCTGAGCAGTGTTCCGTGTGTATCTATGCCACATTTTCTTCAGCCATGCAGCTGATATGCACTTAGGTTGTCTCCTACTCTTGCAATTGCAAATTGTACTGCTATAGACACGTGTGTGCATGTGTCAAAAAGGGGGAAATTTTATGATATGCAAATTGTATCTCTATTTTTAAAATACTCATCAGAAGATTTTTGACAAATGGGTCAAAACCCAGTGAAACTGTTCTTTTAGATTTTAAAACAGATTACAAGTTTATCTTTCCAACTTTCTTCACTATAAAGATGTGAAAGTTTTTCCAGGTTACCTTCTTATATCATTTGGGCAATAAATGCACAGAATGATAGAAATATTTCTAAGCATCCATTCTCAAAACAATCTTGTTATTAAATAACTTTCTTTCAAAAAAAAACCTAACTCCCTCCTTCATCATGAAAACACCATTTTTACTAGGAAGGAAGAAAAGTAATTGTGCCTTGTTTTTCTCTTCAAAGTGTCTCCTAGATAAGAGACTGTTAATGGCCGCTTGGCGCCACAAGAAAAGGCCATCAAATTTAAAACACTTGTCTTTTTGTAAAAACAGATAACTGCAAACAAAATCTTCACGATCATTCTCTATCTTGGCGCAAAGTATTTCAAAGATCCTCTCATTTTATGCAGCCCTCTCGCTGGTTTTTGTTGTTTTGTTTTTTGAGACAGAGTCTCACTCTGTCACCCAAGCTGGAGTGCAATGGCACAATCATGGTTCACTGCAGCCCCGACTTACTGGACTCAAGTGATCCTCCTGCCTTAGCCCCCCAGGTTGCTGGGACTACAGGTATGCACCACCACATCCAGTTAAATTTTTTTAAATTTAAGTAGAGATGAGATCTTGCTGTCTTGCCCAGGCTGGTCTCGAACTGCTGGGCTCAAGCAATCCTCTGATCCGGCTTCCCAAAGTGCTGGGATTACAGGCATGAGCCATCACATCCAGCCAGCTCTCTCACTTTTTACAATCAGATTAATAGCATCTGTCATCTCCTATAGCTCATTCTGCCCTTCTGACTTCAACTGCTCTGCAACACTAGTTTGCATGTGAGTTACTACCCAGCCAATCAATTTCCCAAGTGATATTACCTTCATACTGCTATCCAGCATCCTCTTTTAATTCCCGTGAAAGCTACCACTCCATCAAATGTCATTTTAAACAATTGTTCCATAAGAACACTGTTTCTTGTGGAGAAGTTATTTACAATTGAGAACACATCTTTCCTGGCATATTTTCTATAATTGCTTCACCAAATAACAGCACTGGTTGTGTTTTATTATCTAAGATTGTGCTTCCCCCAGCTGTAAAGCAAGCACTACTTGATTTGTTTCCATACTTGTTTCTTTAAAGTTTTCTCCGCATCTATCAGCAAAAGATCTATTTGCTAGCTAAAGATGAATATTCTTATTCAATCCTTCAAAAAGGATATTTTGACCGTGGTGTGAGCTAGCCACTGTTACAGGTGCTGAGGAAGTAATGAAGAAAATTCGGTTTTGGTGGACGTATGTTCCTATGAGCGACCACAATGAGCAAATTTTTTTAAAAATCTAACGTATATCAGGGTAAGTGCTCCAAAGGAACATTCAACAGGTTCTTGGGACAGGGAGTGAGAGCTTGAGCCATTTTAGATGATGAGGAAGATCTCTCTGAGGAGGTGAGGTCTGAGCAAAGGCCTGAATGTGTGGAGGGGTAAACTGTAAATTATCTGTATCTGGCAGAAGGCGCAGCAGTGCAGGGAGGACCCCTAGGCAGGAGTTTGCTGGGTGGGACTGACCCACGGGAGGCCAGTGTGGCTGGAAGCAGAGACAGATTGGGAAGTGGAAGGACCAGAGGACAGAAGGCAGCCTGGGAGAGGTCACGCAGGGCCTGAGGGCTAGGGTGAGGATGATGGATTTCATTCTGAGCAAGATAGGAAGCCAGTGTGGGGGGCTAATTTAGGTTTAAGAAGATTTAGATTTAAGAAGATCTCTCCAGCCTACTGTGGAGAAGAGACTGCAACATGGCAGGACAGGAACAAGGGACCAATTTCAGTTGTGCAGATGAGAGAGGGACTGAAATGCTGTTGATGAGAGAGTCAGACAGTAAAAGATTTGGACATATTTTGACATAGAACCCATGAGATTAGCTGACAGCTTTGGATATAGAATGAGAGAGAAAGAAGATAGGACACACATGCTTTTTAACATAAACACCTGAGGAAGGCAGCAGCCACATGAGGAGGAGGAGAAGGCTGAGGGAGAGACGAGCAGCAGCGTTCAAGAACTCACTTTGGACGCGTGAAGCTGCAGAAGACGAGAGATCCCGGGAAGATGTCGGGAAACCAGTGGCTTTCAAGAGTCAGGCATTACAGGGGAGGCATTTGGAATGGAATACAAATTTAGGACTTGTCAGTATATTAAAAGCCTCATCACTATAGTTTTTTTCGTGCATTATTTCAGCTGTATTTATTGCAGTAGGAAGAATAAGCATTTCCCGTGGTCATATGCACCTTTTTTTTTCTCACTACTAAGAAACCTCAAAAGAGGCATTTAAGCACTTTCCATTACACTAATTTACATTTTGAGAGATACTGCATTGAATAGTACATGATTTTAAGTCAGTTAAAAAAAGATTGCAGACATTTTTACTGTCTTTTTCAGAGCATAATGGATTCCACTCTTTTTAGACAAGATCTCAAGATGTAAGAGAGTTAGGTGAAGGCTTTCATTAGTGACCGTGGCTATAAACTTGTATTTATACATCTACTGAGTAACTTCACTGAAAAGGAGATAGTTCTGAAAGCAAAACTGTCGCTGTCGCCTTTTCTCTTGTATAGTCGTGTTTGCCTTATCATTACATTCAACCCACCCTCTCTTTGCCGACATCGTCTTAAACCACGTGCCCATTTTGCAATGACTGGTTGCATTAAGACTAGACAACATCAGCCATAAATCCACTTTGCCTGACACATGTAAACTGCCATCGATGATTGCAAAGTGTGACAAGGGAAAGGTGCCACCCTCCACCTCTTGAGGAATTTGGTTTTTCTCAGGACACTCCCCTTCCCTGTCAAGAAATGTAACCACTATTCAGTCTGTGTGAAGGGGCGAGTGCCTGTCCATGCATTATGTATTAGTGGACTGTAGAGCTTAATGTCTAACTTTTTAGAAAAGATAAATATAAATAGAAATTATAATATTTTCTTTTTTTTTTTTTGAGACAGGGTCCTACTCTGTCACCCAGGCTGGGGTGCAGTGGCATGATCTCAGCTCACTGTGGCGTCAGCATCCCAGGCTCAAATGGTCCTCTCGCCTCATCCTCCCAAGTAGCTGGGACCACAGGTGTGCGCCACCGCACCTGCCTGATTTTTGCACTTTTTGTAGAAATGGTGCAATGCTTTTTTCCACATCTCAGTGAATCACCTTCCGCATCCTTTGGAGCTCTGATTCAGTGCTCACCCTCCATCTAGTCCTTTTTACTGTCAAAGAAGGTGACAAATAAAGCTGCTACCGTGCCAGAATGAGGACTGGCCCCGGCTCCTGAGCAAAGAGGATTCCCATTAACACCCCGACTGTCACGCACCCCAGTGACACAGAAGAATGAAAGATGAAGTTCAGTTCCCGCACTATAAAAGAAAACATTAAAAAGCAAGTGTCTCTTGTTAAACTTTAAAGCATACCTATAGACCATGTAAAAATGAAAACTGCGCTAATTTGCTTTCCTGGGGTAATTGCTATTAAGTTGTTTTTGTAGGCTAACTGAAAAATAGTTTATTTTTACCTTTGTGGTCTTCTTAGTAAAACTGGCTACTCAAAGTGGATTAGGAACCTGAACTTCTTTCCTTAGGAAAATTTCATGCCTAATGTAAAAAAAAAAAAAGAGAGAGAGAGAGAGAAAATGATTTAGAAATTGTTTTATTTTTTATTTAATACTCTATCTGAAACTGAAAACTTTTGAGTTTTACTCAGCAGCAAAAAAGGCAATGTTCCCTCTTCAGAAACACTAAGTCAATATAAGGTAAAAGACGTTTATTTCTCAGTAAAACTGAGATTTGAGGAGGTGGCAAGAATGTGAATGACCCTCCTAAATTTGCTGGTGCCAATTCCTTGGCTGCTAATCAACACAGGCAGGTCCCTAAATAGAGGGCTACATGTCTAAGACACCCCTTTCTCTTTTTATTCACAGAAACCCAAACTGGAGAACATGTTCAGTGAAGCAACCAGGACTAAATCATTTGAAATGCATTAGCCAGCACGCGCTCCAAATTAACTCAACAACAGTCACATGTGTCTGGGGGATTCTTCCCTGAAAGGTGGCATGAGTTGATTGGACCCCGGGAGTAACGCCGCACAGCATGGCCCCAGATCTACTACTAACCACGCACTGCGCAGGGAAGGCTGCTTGTTACTAAGGCCTCTATGGAATCAGGGGGAACGGCCAACAAACCAGTGCAGAGCCTGCAAAAGTCAGACAGAAGGAGGATGAAACATGATTTGTTTTTTTCAAGAAGGAAAGACTCAGTTCATGTGGAAGAGTTTCCTTAAGGATAAAGGAAGTATCCAGAACCCACTCTGAGAAAGGGAGATGGCTTCATGCTTTCCTCTCCCACTCTCACACCTGCAGGAAAATCAGATTTCCTCATGGTCCTGTCATTTTCTCAGGCCTGAGAGGAGGGACACTTCCCCCCACACAGCCCCAGTCTCAGTGGCCCTAGCAAGACAAGAAACAGACTCCAGCTTCTGAGAGATTAGGTAGGACACTCATTCGGCCTGGTTCAGCTACTACCTTAGCTGTAGATTTTGAACAAGTTTCAAAAATGAATGAAAGTAGCTTTTTTATGAATCTGGGCCAGATCTCCTGCTTGCCCCTCCAGAGCTGCTCCCTGCCCTTGCCTGCCCCAGAAGGCTGACCGGTGAGCCCCTTTGGACTGCTGATGGACCCGTGCTCCTACCCATGCCCAAAAAGCAGAGAAAAGGGAGTGGTTATCAGAATGTGGAAGAAGAGAGGGAAAGAGACAGTGCCACCTTGAGAGAAGCAGTGCCTTCAGGTAAAAGGCCACTGCCAGCGATATGGACCGGAGACAGGGAAATGCTGGAGGAAGACGCTTCCTCAGCGAAGACGCCCCTCCAGCCTGGACACCTGTGGCCCTAAATGAGAACAGGCATTCCTGTTTTCACACCCAAAAAGTGGCCTTTTGGTCTGCCACGCCCCCTCTCCTGTGCCCATATAAACCCTGAACCCCAGGCTCCAGCTCAGACCAGCAGAGGTGGAGATGAGACAAGCAGATGAACAGCAGAACGACTCGGCAGAGAAAGAGAGCGGGGGGAACACCTGAACTCTGGAGGAGTTCAGCCACGGTGATCAGAGAGGAGTCTGGCTGCTGGACAGCCCACTCCAGGGGAAGATCATTCCCACTCCATTCCCCTCCTTCCAGCTCCCTATCTATCCTGCCGAGAGACACCCCCACCACGCAATAAAACCTTGCATTCATCCTTCAAGCCTGTGTGTGACCTGATGCTTCCGGGATGCTGGGCAAGAGCTCAGGATAAGGAAAGGTGTCACGCTGGCCCCCTGCCCTTGAGAAAAGGCAAAGGGTCCACTGAGCTGTTTAACACTTAAAGCCATCTGTGGATGGCAAGGCTGAGAGAATATGGTAACATTGGGGTTGCAGGCACCCACCCCAAGACACTACCATGGGACCAGTACCCAAAGCGCCCACCCTAGCCTCTGCACCTGCCCAACTGAGTGCTCTCCCTCCCGCAAGGGGTTTGAGCAGTGGTGGCAACCAAACAGGTCCTGTGAGGGGGATCAGGGAACTCTCCCGTTTTACCAGCCCACAGAGATGAAGACACCTCGGGGACAGTGGGGGGAGTCAGGCGATGTGTACCATGACTGCACCATCTTTCCACCCCCTGATCTCCTGTTGAGGGTTCCCACTGATCAAACCCAAGAAGCCAGAGGGGAAGAGAGCTCCTCAATGCTGCCAGTGTGCTGGAGCAAAGAGAGGAGCGCAGATGATCCAGGAGCAAATAGAAGACAACCAGCACAGTTCCCAAATGTGAGAAACTGATTACAGCAGAATCTACTTGAGGCACATTTTAAATATACGTCCGAATTCCTCAGACTCCCCCACTCCCAATTTCAGAGCTGGTATGTCAGGGTGGAACCGAAATAATTTATGTTTTAAAAAAATATGTATATATATCTTACGGCCAAGCGCAGTGGCTCACACCTGTAATCCCTGCACTCTGGAAGGCTGAGGCAGGTGGATCACCTGAGGTCAGGAGTTTGAGACCAGCCTGGCCAACATGGTGAAACCCTGTCTCTACTGAAAAACACAAAAATTAGCTGGATGTGATGGCTTGCATCTGTAATCCCAGCTACTCAGGAGGCTGAGGCAGGAGAATTGCTTGAACCCAGAAGTCAGAGGTTGCAGTGAGCCAAGATCATGCCACTGCACTCCAGCCTGGGCAACAGAGCAAGATTCCGTCTCAAAAAAAAAAAAAAAAAAAACCCTTAAATTATTCCAGTGCACAACTGTGTTTGGGATGTCTGGCCTTATGAGACACACAAATGACCTTCAAGATTTCAAAGCAGGTCCCATAATCCCTTCTCACCACAAAATCAGGCCCAACAAGACCATATCATCTTGGTCAGGTATAGTGGCTCATGTCTGTAATCCTAGCACTTTGGGAGGCCAAGGAAGGCAGATCACCTGAGGTCAGGAGTTCAAGACCAGTCTGGCCAACACAGTGAAAACCTATTTCTACTAAAAATACAAAAAATCAGCTGGGTGTGGTAATGCACACCTGTATTTCCAGCTACTTGGGAGACTGAGGCAGGAGAATTGCTTGAACCCAAGAGGTAAAAGTTATAGTGAGCTGAGATCGCCATTGTACTCCAGTGTGGGCAACAAGAGTGAAACTCCATGTGAAAAAAAAAAAAAAGAAATAATCTTCTATAAAGCAATTACATTTAGAAATATTCTAATGTCCTGTCTGGAGTGGCACTTATCAAAGAAACCTTACTTTCTATCCTTAAGTACTAACGCCTAGGACAGCTGAACCTAAGAATACATTTTGTTCACCTAAACTCATTATTGTCCTTTTACCCCCTGAGTAGAAAATATAAATAATAGCTCCAAAAGAAACACCCAGTTCCTTGAAAATGCTTCACAGGAAGCCAGTCTCTCAACTTGAGATAGTATCAGGCTCCAATGGCTAAAGGAGACCGTATTTCCACAGAGACCCTTCATTGACAAGGCGCACCATTCAGAAGTTTCACTTAAAGATCATTCTCTCCATTATTGTCATTGAAGTGAAGCCAAAAGCGGAAAAAAAATTGACAGTCTGAACTCTAGAAACTTGGCTTCAGAAATGTCTATTAATCCAATACAATTCAATACAAGAAAGCTTAAAAACTCCTGGTAATCCTCAAGGTGCTCTTCAAATCGAAATGGATTCTGTGAAAGCTGCTTTCACCTACCATCATTAAGGAAAATTCCATTTTAACTCATCTCTGAGAAGGGAGGACAAGAAGAAAGGTATCATGCCTGAGAATACAGAACATTATAAACACTGGGACCCCAGGAAGGCGAAACAGGAGGGATGTGCCTAATCCAGACCTTGCCTTCGCCTGCTGCCACAGGTTCCAGATCTAGCAACTGCTCATTTTCCTAGGAAATTAAATGGAGATGATGTCTCATAATTTCCAATCACACAGCACAATTAAATGGCAAGTTGTTTTCCACAAAAGTCGTTTTATAGTTAAAGCACCCAACTTTAAAAGAAGTTTGGGGAGGAGGTTGCGGGGCAGGGGAATTAAAGCAGAGATATTTATTTCCTTACATGGCCAGAGTAACAAAAAGACTGCATTTAACGGCAGGAGTTGCAAAGCGTAGGTTTACCCATGTGGTGTATGGGTCCCACGAGCCGTGGCTGGGATTGCTGGAATCCTGAGTCCTGTTTCCTGCCAGGTTATTAATCTGCCATGTAAGCTTGAGCCAAGGCACTGAAATGTCTCCTTCTATCAATTTCCCACATGAGAGATGAAAATAAAAATATACCTACCTTTCAAATCCTATCGGATTCAAAATTCCTTTTTCTACTGGTGTGTCCCACTGTATCCAGTAGATTATATCCCTAAATGCACTGAAATGCTACTTACAAGGAACAAGAAATCAAATGGTTAACAAGTGGTGTTTTAACTACTCTCAAGGAGTTGACTTTAAAAGCACTCATTTACAAGAGTGGCTAAGAGGTCAGGTGCTAGAGACAGACAGCTCTGTTTTCTTACTGTAACAAGAAAATATTTTGTGATAGATTAACCAACATTTTCTCCTTTCCCCTTCATTCCTGTGATCCCATGACCCTTCTCCTCTGTGTACCAGGACCTTCTGGATTTACTGTGTCAATGACAGTTTATTGATTACCAGGGATGCGTGTTCCCGCCCCACCATAATGTGAGGATGTTTCTGGAAAGTGACTGCCTCTCCCACCCTCTTGAGCTAGGCAGAGGCCATGAAACTGAGTTCCTGCCAAAGCAACATGGGTAAAAATGATACACACTTCTTCAGGACCATGTGCAGGATTATTAGCAAGACATGGAACAGAATAGGATGCTTCATTCAGCAGGGAGAGTCCTTAAGTCAATCAGGAAAATAGACATGGCCCTCCCCTCCTGTGAGCCTTTCAGCATCACATTCTTCCTGAGAATCTGTATAGCCACCTCCCTGGCAAAAACCTGGCATGTGCCTCCTTAAAAATCAAGCTCCGCATCTGCTGACTCCTTATAATATGCCAAGATCTTTCACATAACAAACACAAAAATTTCATTTTTAAGAAAGGAAGAATTATCTCCACCTAACAGAGGAGAAAACTAGAGTCAAAAAGATGTAAGTGGCTTGTCCAAAGTTGTTCAAATAGAATTCATCAGCACTGAGGTTTGAAACCAGAATTTCTGGCTTCAATACAGTGATGCTCACACCAGCACAGCTTCCTCTTCTGGACAGTGTGCCCAAGGAACCCCTAGCTCTCAACTGCTGTCACACTCCACCTCAGGCGTTCAGTGCAAAATCTGAGGATGACAAATTATAATCCACCTGTCTCAAGAGGCAGCTTACTAAGACTCTGAGGAAAAAGAAGCGTTTTTCTAAATTGTTTGATCCACATGAGTGCATAGGCCACAGGGTCCAGCCATCTGTCCACCATTATCCTTGTGTAACTGACCATTGCCAGGTGTCACGACAGCCGGCATGGATTAATTAGTAGAAACCAAGTTCAATGCAATTAATCATGCAAACTTGAACTCTCAATGTCCAATACTATTAAAAACATGCCATAAACTCAGAGCACTATAAAGAATTAGTGACCGAAATGGAGATAGAAATAAGGCTTTGGATGCATCTGATTCACGTTTAAATCAAGCCTGATACACATCTGCCTACCAGGGACTCTCTCTCAACTCACTATTGCTGTCAATGAAAAATTTATGTGACCTGAACACATATGGATTTCAGATCATGTGACCCACTATAGAAGAACCTCAGACAAGCCCCCTGTGAACCCTTCCCTTTGCTTATTCCAACCAATTACCCCAATACATTGCAGACCTACCGGCAAGAGACACAAGGAGTGCAATGCCTAGGTTGCCATGGCAGCCCCCCCAATGACCCCCTTGAGAAGGGCTCCCATTTGCCAACCCCATCCCCTCC